CGACGCTCTTCCGATCTAAGTAAGAGCAGATCTAGCAGATTTGGGATTTGAAGACTCGAGTAACAATCGCATTGTCGCATATTTTACCAGTTGACTCGGTGTGCAACTCAACACATGAAACTTTGCTATGAATTCCCCTCTTTTGGACAGCGTGAGGGCTGCTGTAAAATTGAAGTAAGATATGAAACGGTGAGTGATTTAACTCGATGGAACGAAATTATGCATTCCTTTACGTCAAGGATTACTGCAGGGTTGTTGCGGTACTCAGTTTCAAGCATCGGTAGCTGATGATATGCAGTGATATGTCTGCTACCAGTGTCAAAGATGGAATACAAACATTCTCTCAAAAATATTTAGTTCCGGTGTGAGCTTAGGTAAGCTGGCTGACTAAGATATGCAGACTGCGTTTGGTTTCACAAATATGAATTCGAATAGCTCGAATTTTGCGTCTCTTCGCTGAATGGGACAAATGCTTTGTGCCTGAATATTACCTTCGAGGTCAATTATCAGTGACCAACCGAGTGCATTTTCAGACGTTGCAAACGTGAACTTCTTGACCTACGGACCTAATCTAGTAGACTCAGACAACCCGCAGTTCAAACTCCTGATTTTGCATTGAACCAAACAAATAAGTCGAATTGGTGGCTAATGCAGAGCGGTATCAGGAAAGCAGTGTGAATTTCAAACTCCCCAAGGGTAGTCCACTTCTCTTCCAGAACGATATTCTTTTACACATTGAGTTATAAAATCTAAATTAAATTCATGAGGGTCTGATGAGGACAAATCTATTTAGCTTACGTGTTTGAAGAATCGAATCGAATTGTGAGCATACCGACGGTGCTACCGTTGGTGTTTGCCTTGAATTAATGGAACATCATGGAGTGTTCGACAGGTAATGGTATTGTGTGCGAATGCACCTTCCATATCAAAGTCCTTGTCGACTCAATTGACACGTTCGTCATGCTTGCTCGTGTTCGAAGATTTTGTACCTGACCAGATCACATAAAATCTTGGTTGTCGAAATTACTCACGCAGTTTTCAGGTTTGATCTTTCAAAGCGAATTCTGATGCTCATTTATTCCGAAAATTTACTGGAGTAAACGAGGCACAAAAAGAAATCCAAATCATGGGATGTGTCATTCCTGACGTCAGTTCATTGGTTATCGAGTCGTCCGCCTAAGATAAGTGGCGGAGAGGATTTCTTGTAAAAATATCACTCCACTCACCTGGCCCATAAGTGGCGTAAAATCCACGGTGTTCTCCAGTCCCGTTTGCCACAAAAGTCACGTTGAGTTCGTCATAAAAGTTCAGTGGACCAGGTAAAGTTTGACCACAATATGGTCCGTGTGTTATAGTCTTTCCCTGCACTCTGATTTGTATCAAAACGAAGTCCGAAGGGCATTTTTGCTCAGCGGCCGGCTCTCCAACCTGGAGCAAATAGCACAAACCTTATCGAGCGTCTTCACAGGCAAACTTGGATTAGATATTAACCGCTTTAATTGCTGTCCACGCCACGAATTTTTTTGTCGGGTGGAAGAAATACAGCCTCCAGAAGAGATCAATTGTTTGAAATTACCGCATTCCGTTGATTGGTAACTTCTGAGAAGGCTTCCTTTCACCGCTACAACACCCCAGTGTCCGCGAATTTCAGTGTCCCCGTTGTCCATTCAGCAGGCCCTCATCACTATTTGTGGCTAGAAACTCGGGTCAAAACTATTGCTGGATGTCGTGCTTGGTTTTGAACGTTCCCGCGCCCAATATTGCAGTGCCATTCAATTTGGTACGTGAGCTTATATGCAGATAATCGCACAACACACTTGCTTTAATTACACAACAGTCTCGGTTGCATAATATATGAGGGTAGAACATCGATGTCATCCACCCACTCATTATTCGTGAGCAGACAAGGCAACTTGCAGTGGGGACCAGAGTAACAGGCCTGCATTTGGAATATGCATGGAAGATTTGACTTTTAGAGTGTCATTCGCTTCGACCAGTCTGCAAGGATGGTGGGACCGCTGTATGAAAATTACCGCTTCCGGTTAAGTTAAACAGAATAACGGAAACAGAACTGACGCCGTGTCTAGTACACCGTGCATCTCATTGAATTAGCCATTGAGCGTTCATTTATGGGGAACGAGCAATCTTCAGGCTGCTGCACAGTGTGGGGAAGACAATCCAATCATGACATTTTACGTATAGTGTCATTCTTACCTATACGCTAAGCCGAAATTATCGAAACAGACAAGTGTTATATACACGTACATATGGAGACAATAAGACCAAACTCACGTCGAATACTTCAAATTGCAGCTGACTGTATCTGTCAGGTTTTGTAATTTTCCACAAACAGCTGGGCGGATGTGGATAGGGGTTTGGATAATTCGGTGACCGTACCACTCCCACAATGCCACTCAGTACGTACGTACAATCTTGACGCGCTGCATGGCGTGGAAATAAAGGGTACGATGGAAAGTGTATGAGTAAGAGTTTATGGATTTTAGGAATGTGGACTAGTCATTGATGCACTCACTGAAAACAGACAGGTGCATGCTAGCTCCCGACAGTAGATGAAAGGACTCCGCATGGCAGACATCTGCCGGAGACAGGTTTCCGAGGAAACGCCTGCAAGTACACTTGTACGCGATAGCTAACTCTAAAGTAAAGGTGTTCTATGTGAGTCAGCATTTCACCTAATATGGATAACGTCTCACTAGTGTTTGACCTTCCTGGCCATCTAGGCTAACAAGCAAGATCTTGGAACTTGTCACTGTGCTCCAAACAGGTGTCGATCTGTAGGCAATACAAAACTGATTTTAGCTATTGCACAGGAACAGAACTCGGAGTTTTTGTTCTGCAGATTCCCGAGTGAATCAACATCTGGATGACTGTCGCCACTGGGTTTGGCTCATAGGAACACCAGTGAATTATTGAAAACAAGGGTTCAGATTTTCCAATCTAGCATTACGGACACGTTTACCATAGAATAATTGGCTAAACTGGAGTGGTTTGTTTATTTACATTGAAGCAGAATCGTGAATCGTACACGCATGAGCCTAGTCAAAAGTGACCAACGCTGTTTTCACTTAGCATAGTACACTGAGATTACGCATCAAAAACGACACGAAGCCACCTATTTTTCAAAATCTCAGATGAGCATTAGAAGCACTCTACATTTACTCCCGGTGAATCCAACGAGTAACACTAGCAGCTGTACATTGATGCGTTGCTGAAGAAGTGCAGCATCCCTACCCTGTTGTACCAGAATAATAAGGCACTGCGTAAAAGCTCCCATCACCGAAGCGGACCCGGATAATCGTGACTAGCCGGCAAGCACACAGAATACTGCGGCCAGCCATCAGTCGAGCCGCAATCACTTGGCATAACAAACTTCGACACCGCGTCCTTGTGAACTAGGTGGCTGTTGGTCTGTTCACCCGAATCTGGCAATCGACTTGCAAACATGACGTCACCATACGAGGAGACATCATCGGTGCGCAGTGTTTTGATCCGCGGGAGGCACTGCAATACTACAGAACACAAGATTAAAGAATAATAATACACATACATGTGCAATGATTCCGGCGAGGCCGTTTCAAAGGAGGGTGGCAAGAGGCTCGAGTTTCGTCCTTAGTGGAAGCAATCACTAGTGCATTTTCTTGGCCATGCCGGAGACTGAACTCCACACATCTGACATGCGGGGCGAGCGTTACGAGCGAAATTCGACACCAGTGCTTCTCCAATTTGTGTGGACTCATCAGAATGGTTGCTGCAGCTGGTCGGCTGCTCGAAACGAGAGTGATGTGAGCGTGCATTGCACAGAGCCCACGAACACCCACATGTAAAATCGGGAGAACCCAACAACCAGCGCACTAGTGATGTCCCCTCGTATGGTGACGAAACGTTCGCAAGTGAGTTGCCAAGGTCGGTGGACAGATCAAAAGCCACCTGGTCAACAGTCATTAAACTCACCCAGGCTGTTATTTCGACGATTTACCAATATAAGGATAGGTGTAATGGGGGGATACGCGTGGCAGTTAATTCTCAATAATACCGCAGTAATATGGAATATCCAGAATAAACGCACCGTGAGTGTTACAAACTTGTATTCCAATCGCAAGGTAGAATAAAAGTATACAAGACATTCTAGGTGGATGCCAATGGCGACATTGGTTTACTCCTCTAATATATACATACCAGTTAAGCATCATGTGACAGATGTGTCGGGCTCGGCTGTCTTGTCACATGCCGCATGTGGCTCAGGATAACGCTGCGTGATCTCGTTCAATAGTTATTTTTCAATGAAGAATAAGCAGCGATATATGCTGTCCAAGCGAGAGCTAATCACACTGCGCTTCAGTTGCTCAAGCCCGAACGCTTAAGTGTTCAACCCCTGCCCGGAAGGTCGCGGGTTCGGAACGCTTTGAGCTTCGTGATCCCCAACTAGGATCAAACACATGTAAAATGCTCCTCGGCTTTCCGGCATGCACTGACTTGAATAATCGCATGATGCCTCAACTGTCGGTTAGGTTGTTTTCTCTCACCTACCGGTTATTTGTTCCCAAAAATGTCCCTACAGATTCAATTTTAAAAAATGAAGACATGTGGTCTGACCGATTGTGGATAACCTCGTCAAAATCTCAGAAGAATCGGAGGTTTTCTGTCCCCATGACTCGTTGAAAGCACACAATAAAAGAGCTTTCCTGCGGCCCAATTTAAACAAACAAAACAGACGACTGGTCGAAGTACTTGAACCCAACTCTTGCACCCCAATTTCTACAACATGCATCTGAATCAGATTCTCGTTTCCAGATTCGCATCATGGATGCAAAACAAATGCCCTTGCGTACAAATTCTCTGTTGCAAAAATCCAACCCAACAAAACCGTTTCCATGCCTATGGCACTGCAAGTGGAGAGAAACAGAGCCAGAAAAAACACCCAGTTTCGCTGTTATTCAGACATCCACTCAATCAACTGTGCCCACAACAACAGGTTACATCCAATGTTAGAAGTATCTGGGTGCTAAGGAAACAGTTGAGTGACGGGCTCAACAGTCTTGGAACTGAGACAGAAAATAAAACAAACCGATTAGAAATCACTGCAAAACTCCTGTAACGGGTAACGCATGAAACGATCTGTCGATGTGGATAAGCGCAGCAATATGCAGAATACTCATGTAATAGCATGCCACTCTCTCCGATCTAGCGGAGGCCTGAAAAGGTGACTAGAAACTGAATTGGCCTTTTGTCTCAGTGAATAGATAAATGGGATGTGTCGAAGCTAAAACTAAAGTTGAGTTCCAGCTGCAAAAAGGCCTTGTATGCACCCAGTTTTGCCAGTGTCCTGAGCCTCTAGCCAGTTCTTTTAACAGATCCGTTGCACCTGCAAGCGGATTGATAAATGTAGTAGATAGCCCATGGAGCCGGTTGCACGTTCTGATAGGTGACCGCCGAATCCCTCCAGACATTAAATTATTCCGCACCATACAGTGGTGTTAGTTTTACACAGACAATCTAGTCGTTTTTCGAGCAACGTTAGTCACTCTGACGGGCGCATTAACTCATCAGAAATTTCACTGCTGCACTGCGACTCATGCCACCCATCCACAGCTTCTTTTGTTGTAAACCCTTTAGAATTGTTGAGATACTAATCTAGCTTCAGTACGATTTCGAGAAAAGAGATACAATTCGTGAGGTTGCTGAAAACTATTCGATAGGCTGCGATTGGTTTTATTTTTCTTGGGGCTCATCAAGTTGACCGCACGTTCTAGTTGAACCCAACTTTCACGAAATTTGGGATTGATTTGGCGCTCATCAGAGACTCAGTCGAATCTAAAATGAATCTCTTGGTTGTCATCGTGTTCTACGGATTATGTCACCCAAAGATGTTCAGTCTACGGCAGCTGACCATTCTTCAGTTATCTTATGAGTGGTGTGTTCGATAGAGAACAAAAGCATGAGACAGACTGTATGCAGTACATTCAGTTGAACAGTATCATAAATCAGCTTTGAACCAGTCGGGTCTTCCTTTAATGCCTTTTGAAGTGCTGTCGTTTCTTCACGCACATCTAGTGAGCTTACTCAGTGATACATTCTGTTATATCTGACTGCTATTCCCACTCCAGTGCCTGCTGCCAGAAAAAGAACTTCCCGATAAGGAACACAACAGCTTTATTGCGAACGAGCGAGAGCGTGCGAGTGCAAAAGTTGCAACGAACCCGCGCTAGTTAAATGGCACGTTTTGAGATAGATCTAGGTTGTCTGAAAGGCGTTTACTGAACACCCGTCAACATCGATCGCCTGGACGTCGATCATATTCGGTCGTGCTTCTGTGGCCTGTCTGAACAGTCGTCGGCTTTTGCTGAATTGATTGAATGATTGATTAGCCTGAATGCTTGCCGGCTTCTCTATTACGATTCTGGTGGAGT